TGAATCTAATAAAAACTCAATTTTCAAAAAATTGTAAAAAAGGGCTGTTTTAATAGATAACACCCCATATGTTTAATATTTTTTTATCTTGCGGCTGAGCTTAAAATAAAGATCTTAAGTAATTAATACAAGTAATCAACTTTAAATTGTATAGCACAAGTTTATTTATTTAAAAAAATATTTGGTAGATTTGTTATCCTAGAGTTTAGATATGTATTAAATATAAAGTTTGTTAATTGGTATTGTTTTGATCATAATATTCATCTGGCCATTTATCTAGCTTTGTTGTTTGTTTTCTATATTCTTCTAGATATTTGATTTCTGTATTAAATGCAGGTAGTAAATTTATATTCAATAAAGATTCATCAAAGGGGCGTAAAAATAATAAATCATTTAATTTGTATATTCTAGAAAGCATATGTGCTATTATAAGTATTAGTGTTTGATAGGTCAATCACTACATTATCCAAAGTTCGACCTTGGCATTTATAGTCAGTAAAAGTTGAAATCGTTGAAATCGATATTGTATTTTAGGCACATTCATAAAATCAACTGGATTTGAATGCACTCTAATAATAATAATCATAAAATACCCTTAAATTAATTGCTGAAAATAGCAAGGTAAGATCTATTTTTCAGATCTAGAAGATTTCTACTTCGCATCATATAAAGGTATTTGAGTAGCAAAAGGTGGTAATTCAAACCTAAATAGCATTCAGAATATAGCGGTCATTTAATGTTTAGTTCTTATCGAACCATCAGGTTACCTGAGTGATGTTTTTTTTGATGGGTCCAAACACTAAATTCAAAGTTTGCAAACAGTCTGGTCTGGTCTGGTAGTTTTTTTGTGGCTTAGCTCATCATATGAGCAACAAATCTGCTTACATGATGAGCTAAACCACAAAAAACCTACCAGACCAGACCGGACTGTTTCAAACTTCAGGCTGAACTTCAAACCAGATAAATATATTTGGACTCTAACTAGTCTGCAAACTTCGAACCAGATCCAGACCAGACTCATAATTAAGTTTGAGTCTGGTCTGAAGTTTGAAACTAGCAAAATTTAGAGTCTAAGTCTGGTTCAATTCTAGACCAGACCCGGACCAGACTGAACCCAAACCAGACCTAGAAGCACTAGAAGCCTCTTTTATGTATATTATTGTTAATAATTATATGCCTCAAATGTTTTTTTTAAACTCCTCTTTAATTGTTTTACAAGTTTTGAATCATTACTAATGACTTGACTGGTTAGAGGGTCTTTCCAGGTTAAATTCTCAATGGGTATATCATTAAGACCAGAATATAATTGTTGATAAAGAGGCATGTTAGCTTTTTTAAGTTTTTTCTTCAGCTTATTAATATTGTCTTTAATCTGGTCTGAGTCAAGAGGGTTTTCCTTGTTCATTTTTATTGCTCCAAAATTATATAAACTACAAACACCCTTGAAAGCATAGTCAAACTAATAATAAAATATAGTATGTTAGTTTTCAGAAATAAAAAAAAATTTATCATTAAAATAATGTATATTATTAGTACATATGCAAAGTTAATATCTTTGTATGGCCATCACACAGATGAAACTTTGTATGATACTAAATAATAACATAAAGATTTATGACTTAACACATCTTCTGACATGGCAATAACCTTTTCACATAATAGGTTAGTAGAGTGAACCATAAAACTACGTAACAAATTATAGCATAAACACCCCTCTACTATGTGTAAGTATTTATTGGCAAGCAAGCTAAATGGGCAGAAAAAGTATAATCTAACAAACTAAAATATGGCTTATTTATTCAGTATTTGTCTTGCAAATAGATCACACAAAATCATCACATAATAAAATTAATTTTAGAGCATAATGTAAGAATTTAACCAACCTGTAAAGGAATTCAAAGAATTTTTGATTAGTACTCTAAACCAACTGAGTATAAGCTACTAACAAATCCTATAGCTTGCCTATGATTGATTTCAACTTATCTTGTATTAACCAAGGATCTTTTTTCAACCCCTGATAGACAACTGTAGTAGTATTTATATGGCTCTCTTCTACAGTAATCAAAAAATTTTGGATTTTGCTTTGTAAATTAGCAAATATGATAAAAAAAACTTGGTATTAGAAATCACAAGAATCACAATAAAAAATAAAATCACTAAAAAGTGACAATTAATAATAAATTTGAAATACTGACTTTTCTTTTATCTCTTCACTAAAACTCAAAATACTAGAAAGATTAGATAG